TGTGTGAGGGGGGCTGGGGTGAAGGGCTGTGTGGGGGAAGCAGTGTGAGGAGCCCCCCCAGCTCCACTGCTCCTCGGTTGAGGGAGTGGTGCCCAAACCAAAGGGTACAGCACTGAGCTGCCTTTCCTCAGCTGAGTGGTTTTATCTTGGACAGGGGCACGTATGGGGAGAAGGAATGGTATTGCCACTGTACAGAAGTTTGTTTATGGGGGGCTGGGGTGAAGGGCTGTGTGGGGGAAGCAGTGTGAGGAGCCCCCCCAGCTCCACTGCTCCTCGGTTGAGGGAGTGGTGCCCAAACCAAAGGGTACAGCACTGAGCTGCCTTTCCTCAGCTGAGTGGTTTTATCTTGGACAGGGGCACGTATGGGGAGAAGGAATGGTATTGCCACTGTACAGAAGTTTGTTTATTATGATGGGCTCAAACAGGTACTTGATCATTCCATCATAACGTCTCTGTGCAGCTGGACTCCGTGGGACTGGTGAACGCTAAGAGATGTCCACTCCCCCTCTCGCTGGGGCAGGCATGCCACCGGGTGCCTTCTCCGGGACGCAGGCTCAAGCAGCTAGGGAGGTAAACACGGCTTCTCTCTGTCGAATTGGCCAAGAGACTGTGCAGGACATTGTATTTCGAACCATGGAAATCTTCCAGTTACTGAGGAACATGCAGGTAAGGAATAGCGTGCTTTTTTTTATGGTCCTCAAATTCCCATATTTTTACCACCCACCAGTGTATGTAGGCACAGGAGATAGCTTAGGACATCTAAATAAATAACTTGATCAAACCCCTTTGAAAAGGGGGATTGATTGGAGAACGAGTACTACTCAATATATTTGCTTACTCCCGTACATTAAGTGAAGATGGAGAAAGTTCAGAAATGTTGAATTGTTATTGCCACTGCAATAAATATACTCTAAATACATTTAATATCTGTGTTTTCCTTTATGAACAGTGAAGTTTCTTTATATGTCAGTTACATTTCTCTGGTTTTGTTAACATCTGGGAAGTAATTTCACAGGAACTATCATTGATCTTTTTCTATGTTTTCCACCTAGGACTTTTTGACCTTTTTGTTGTTAAAGTGGATGTAAGCCTTATTTGTGGCTATTTGCTGAGAAAACATACAGACATTTGTTGTGTTTCTCTGTTGAGAGTAGAAGATAAATAATCACTCCCATTTCCTCTGTATTTACATCACTCTGGCAGTTTCCTTCCATAATAGTCTTAGGTATAGGTATATGTACCTGGAATTTGCTAACTGTGAATTCACTTTGTTTGTGTCTCTGGATTGTGACCTGGGGTTGAGACACAAAGTCTCAAAGTGTAGTACTGGTAACAGATAACAACAGTGTCATGCTTAAGCTTTTTGAAGACATTCACTGAAAAGAGTTATGGAGGGACTGACAATGACCAAAGTGTAGAATACATGAAGCTGTTTGACAGCAGTGATCTGCACATCAGATGAGCAGATAAAATACAGAATTTTGCAGATAAAGAAAATAGAAATTTCAGTGATTTCTGTGGGCATAGTGTAATTGTCTGATTTTGAAATGTACAGAAAACCCTCTGATGTATTTTAGTTTATTTATTTTGTCTGACAGAAGCTTTAACATAATATTTTGAATGTTTTGGGGTTTTGGTTCTCAAAGTTACCGAATGGTGTTACTTATCATGCTGGAACATATCAAGACAGACTGGGAAAGCTGCAGGAACATCTCCGTCAGCTATCAATACTCTTCAGAAAACTGAGACTAGTCTATGACAAATGCAATGAAAACTGTGCTGGGCTCGATCCCGTTCCCATAGAAGTAAGTATCTTTATTCATCTATAAATTACAGATCAGAATAACCATTCTCTGCATAGCGTATCATCCATTCTCCTGAGTTGCAGGAGACTCATAACAAGTTTTAAATGAGATTGGAATTTTTCAGTGGACTGAATTCTGTTTATTATTTGGAGCTGGTTGAAAGACTGTGAAACTTTCACATTAACATCAACAATTCATACCAGTTGGGAGGGATCCAATTTTGGAATCAGACTTCATTTAAAATGTTAGCCTTTTTCCTCAGGCTTCTTGATACATTCACCAATTTGTTTCTGCTAGGGAAAAAAGAGTCAAAAGAGACAGGGCCAATTTTATTTTTGGAGAGGTTGTGGTAGTGGGAAAAAGTCTGCTTTAAGCTCTCACCTGCCAGCCTGGTTCCCTGAGTAATATGCGTTATTCCCTTACCCTGGCATCAGTCTGTGCCTCCATAGTTCCCTCAGTCAGATACTCTTAACCTGCTGAGCCAATGAGAAATGAATCTGAATGTGCAGTAGTGATGGAAAAGTGAAGAGCATAAGACTTCCAGGAAGTAGGATTGGCCAAAGTTTTTTTGCATAAAAATGATATTGCTAATAAAATCAATAATTCATTTTCCCCCCTCATAAATTGTTTCTAATTTCTAGTAATACTCTTAAAGGCTGTTTTGTGTTATGATTTGAGTTACTACAGCTCTATACTAACGAAAACTGTGAAGTTCTTTAAAATTACTGACCTCTGAATTCTGAGGCAACTCTGTCAATGGTCTTCTGATTGTCCATTGGGATTTAATCATTTAAGCATTATGTTTTATATTTTAATCTCTTCACTGAGTAGGAATAAAGAAATGAAGGAGTCTACTCTGTACAGTCCATTCTAGACTACTGATCTACTTCTGTCAGCAGTCTCTGCAGAGGAAGCTATTCAGAAACCTTAGAGCAAGCAAGGGAGTAAGATAACTTCCCAATTAAAAATGTAAAACTTTTTTAATGGTTTGTTGACTTGTGTGCAATGGCTCAATACTTGGGTCCCCTTTAAAAGCTTTAGAGATGTCTTATTTTCACATACGGTTGGAATGAGGTGGGGTTACTTTTTTTTTTCTTCTTTTCACAGTTTTTTCCTGTTACCAGGATGAGAAAGAATCTCGACAGAGAAAATGAGTAGTCTCTTTAAGCTTTTTTTAATGCAAGGTCTCACTGATACCTTATGCACAGCAGAGTTTTGTATCAATAATTGGAATTATTTTTTCTTCAGTCTTTTCTGCTCTGAAGTTAATAGACTGGCTTTCTCCTCATGTTTTATTAATTAGGGTGAATGAGAGTGGCAGACCATTCCTCTTGGATCAGTTTTCTTAAATTCTTATTTAGGCTTTTCAGTAACAGTTTCAATCACATTATTTAATGACTGAGATTCTAACCATGTCTTTAAAGACTAGCAACAAATCTTTTTTTTTAAACAGTCAAGAGAAGTCAGTACCTACTAATAATATTCCTTAGTCTATTATTATTGTTTATGTTATTGTTAATGTTTATATATTTTTTTGCTAGTGTGTACTACCAGTGTAATAGGTACTCTCATCAACTTTCTGTTAGCCAGCATAGCAAGGCGTGAGATAATTGTGAAACAGATCTGGCCAGTTCTATAACTGATTGCATTTCCTGCTTCATTTATGTATTAGGTATAGTTCTTTGCACTTTTTTTTTTGTTTTTTTTTCCTACTAGCTTTTCTGAAAGATGGGAGGTTTTCAAAGGAAATGTTGTACTTTGAGTGGTACATTACTTTTCTGTTGGAGAGAGGAGTTTTTTTCCAAGAGTATCTGGCAGCCACACTACTTCTTCTTTATGGTATGCAAATGTAGCAAGTTCTTAACCTTTACTACATTTTCATGGCACAGTGTAGTGTGGTAGTTTTTGTCCATTTTGACAAGCATAATAAGAATGGCCTACAAAAATTTTTGTGTAGGAGGAAATTAAATTTTCAGTGGGTTAAATCAAAGTAAATTTTCCATCCAAATGCTGAAGGATGCTGCTGAATGCTTTGTATCAGAAATGGCTGAGGGAACTGAGGCTGTCTAGTCTGGAGAAGAGGAGGCTGAGGGGGGACCTTATTGCTCTCTACAACTACCTGAAAGGAGGTTGTAATGAGGCAGGTGTTGGTGTCTTCTCCCAAGTAACTAGTGATAGGACGAGAGGCAATGGCCTCAAGTTGCTTCAGGGGAAGTTCAGATTGGATTTTAGGAAACATTTCTTCAGTGAAAGGGTTATTGAGCATTGGAACAGGCTGCCCAGGGAAGTGGTGGAGTCACCATCCCTGGAGGCGTTCAGAAAACTTGTAGATGTGGCGCTTAGGGTCATGGTTTAGTGGTGGACTTGCCAGTGTTAGGTTAACAGTTGGACTTGATCATCTTAAAGGCCTTCCAACCTAAATGATTCTATGATAACATTGCAACCCAACCTAAGTAACAAGTTACTATCCAAGCAGTGAGGAACTTGCTCCCAGACTTTTAAACTAGTGTCTTCTTGCTTACTTGCATCTATTACTTGTCTTTCATTTGTCTTGTGTATGTGAACAAGGATGTAATGTTGCTATCAACTTTAGCTTTTCTCAGTTCAGGGCAGAAAAGTCAACAATAGACTGTAGACTTTGTGGATGTATGTTATGTATAAAATGTTACAGCCTATAATTTTTTTTTAATGTTAGTAGTTTGCGGGAGTGTTCTGACACAGAAGCATGTATTTGTTTTGTATCTAGCATATTTACTGATTAATTTTTTTAGGAAGTGGACATGCATTAATATTCCTTTAGAAATTCTTTATCATAAAGATTTTTGGTTTTGTAGAAGCTTACAAAAAAGATAGTACACTATGTGCTTGAGGAGATTACAGTGGGAAAATTCTTAAGGAAAAACTCCTTTTGAGTAACTGTGAGCATATGCTTAATATATCACTGAAATACTTTATAATAATAATAACTTCATGTTTGTGATATTTCATAGTGTGGAATAGTAAATTTTAAAATCACAGTCTGAAGAGTTCAAGAGTAGAAGGATTACCTGTGATAATCATCTTAAAATGTAAAACTGGGTTCTGCCTGCAGTTGAGAAATTGCTTAGGTCTGGGCATGGTCATATGTGGGATTGTGTCTTTTTGAAGCACATCATTTTCCTCAAGAACAGACTGAGGTCATTGCAAGGCCTTGGGGTTTGAGACGATGAAGTAAGCCTGTCTCCGCTTCCTCCTGGGAAGTTTGAACCTCTGGAGAGAATGGTAGTACCTTATGCATCTCTTGTTTTCAGTTTCTTTTTTTCCCCTTTTTTTTTTTTTATTATCTGATATTTCTTGTCTTCACAGCAACTTATTCCATATGTTGAAGAAGATGGCTCCAAGCACGATGATCGTGGTGCTGCAAGTCAGCTTCGTTTTGCTAGTGAAGAGAGAAGGGAAATCATGGAAGTAAATAAGGTAACAAAGTTGAAATTAATTTGGTAAAACTGTCACTTTGTCATTACAAAGATTAAATTTCTAGATTACTGTACTAAACACAACATGTGTTATGACTACCATCAAACTTAGTAATAAATACTGCTTGTGTGTAACTATTTCAGAATTACCTTTTAGTAAGCAATTCTTTATTTATCTGTACCTCTGGCTGTAGAGTTTAGGTTTCCTGATAATTTTAACCTGTGCCTCTTTTTAAACTGATATATGTTCTTCTGAATGCAGTGTATTATGTTTATGCTTAACCCACTAGATATTGGCAGTACAGATAGAGGCAAGGTGCCTGTTGAAGTTACTTCTCTTTGAAACTTACCTTAGGTGTTAGAAAAATGGGTGTTGAACATCAGATGTGTAAATATTATCACAATGATGTGAGTTGGTAAAGGATTTTCAGGGCCACTTTCTGTCTTTTGACAGTTTGAGGGAGACCATTCCTTTTGTTAAATGTAGCATTTATTGAATTTTGACACATTCAGAAAAAAAAAATGCACTATGTATGATAAAGGTGCTGTTAAATCTCAGTTTGAGTGGCATTAAGCAATTGAGTACAATTACTAAAGAGTCAAACCTAAAAATAAATTTGCTGTATTAAATGCTAACATAATATTGAGATTAAAAATATATAGTTTTACCAGACCGCAATTTTGAACATTGTTTCTTCAATCTGTAAAGTACAAAGATAGAATTAATTAAATATTTCTGTAGCTGTAATGTCTGTAAATGCTTGGTAAAAAGGAGGCATAATCTACAAAAATAACTGAACAAAGGAAATAAAAGAGTAAAATATTTCTTTATGGAGAGAATAGTTGGTGAATTTTCAGCTTTTTAAATATTTCCAATACTTTGTCTTCAACAATCAGAGATGTACCAAAGTTTTCATAACCCATTTATTTAGAGAAATGCGTGCGTATTGTACAGGAGAAAATGAGGACTACATGAATTCAGAGAAAAGCAGTTGTCAGCTTTCCTGTTGTGTTCTTTCTGTTCAGTGCTGATGTAGCAGGTTGTATATATTATATTGTATATCATGTTGTACTGTGAATTTATGCACATTTATTTGCAATCTCTAAGTGTTAATAAGCTTAACTGTCCATATTTGCTGTGTTTTTGACAGTTTTGTGGCATGTTTTTGCCCTTGTTTTGTACTTGTATGCTAATATATTTTTAAACCTCCTTGGTGTGATCTTGTGAAAAGAAATTCATAAATGTTTATGATGGATTCTAAACCTTGTAAAGGTTGATGGTGTTGCAGGACCATTTGTAGCAAATTGGTAATTAGGAATGTACACAGACATTCACTCAAATCTGGTCTGAAATCCTGTATTTACACTTAAATGCCTAGACCTAGTTTCTGGATTTTCCACAGTAAATCCTCAGAAGATAATTGAACTTTCTTTAGTATTTTACTAACTGCTGCAAAAGAAATTTAAACCTGTTCTTTCTGAAAGTGCACTGAATTTTTTCTGCTTTCTCTCTCCAGCTGAATAAGCACATCCACTACCATTTTCAAAGTTCAAATGTTAATACATTACAGAATAGGAAATGTTTTGGTTTTTGTGACTAGGAAGAAAGAAATTCATGTTTTTGCAAAGAAAAATCACTAGAATCAGGCTACTTGGTCTAATTTCCAACACCGGCTCTTGGGCATTCTTAGCCCTCTCTGGTTGCTAGCTGGCACTCCAGCTGGCTTTTCAGTCCTCTATACTATGTAACATCCACCTCCAAATAAATTTTGCTCAATTTATTTTAGCAAAATTTCAGTTATACAAAATGTTGATGAAGGTGCTGTGACAGGGAAACCAGCATGACAGAGGAAGAAGCTTTTTATATTCTTGACCCGCTATCTTTGCTCTCTTCAGCTGGTTGGCCTGCTCTCACCTAGTCCTTTTTGCTATGATAGGAAATACCTTTTCAATCTTGAATGTTACTGGTACCACAAAAAGCATTATTGCAATAACCCAGTACTTTGACACTGTTGAGACATTTGAATTCTTAGACTTTTCTTGGGTCTCTTAATTTTGCTCTTCTTCCTATGTTGTCCCAGCCAGTCTGATCTTTTTAGTGGCTCTGGATGCATGTGAGACGCTAACTGCCCTGCAGTGCGGAGCACAGCCAAAACTAGTAGATCACATAAAACTTGTGGATCATGTATTCTCACACAAAACCATCCCTCCTTCCAGGAACCCCTGACTTGAAACATAACAGCTCTGCTTTGCTTCAGCAGTTACCTGGGAAGGGGGCGTCCTCAGTGGAGGACGTGGGGAGCATCACGTACTTCCCATATTTGCCATCTCACTCGTGGAGCAGAAGAATCTGTTGATGTAGCAGAGTTCAAAAATACTGCGGTAGCTTTTGATGTTGGTTTACTGTACGGTGACATCTTTTGGTCTTATTTATTTATTTGTTCTGCTAAATTAGCCTTATCTGTTGGGTCAGAAAGTGTAATGCTCCCACCTTAGCTAAGAAGTACTTGTCCATTTATTTAAAATACAGATCAGTTTACAAGGTAATGAACTTCTGTCCTAGAAATTCAGTAGTATTTAGCAACTGTAGGTTTAAGAAAAACCTATTAAACTTAAAAGCAAAAGGGATTTTTGCCAGCAGTTACTAAAAAGGGTGCACCATTACTATGAAAAATGAAGAAACAAACAATTTATTGAGCACTGACTGCCTCTACCTTTTGTACTAAACAATTCTATCCTGTGGTTCCCAAAAATGTTGCTTATTCTTTTTATCTGTATTTGCTTTCTGAGTTTGTGAATTGTTGGGGTGGTTGACTCTTTTCTGGAATAAGTAATTTATAGTTTCAGAATCAGTGCAGCATTTGCATTGGTCTACTAATACAAGTCCTGATCCAGTTTTCATTGAATATAATTGTTGTTTGCTACAGATGGAAGCTGTTAAGAAAAATTTATCACTTGTCTTCATATTTTTTGAGTCTGTAATGTGCTGTCTACAAGTTTCTTACCTTCTAAGTATAGCATCACCTGTAATATTTTCAAGATGTCAGGCTCACCTTGGGTCCTTGGACTTGTAGTACATTTGACAGGACCTGCAACACAAAATATCAAATCACTGACTGAGAACACTTAAATCTGTGTTGCTGCCTTATCAGCAGTTTACTGCTGGTTTTTGGAAGTGGAGCAAGTACAGCTTTGTTTTTTTAGATGCTGTAGGTCTGGTTTCAAGTGAAGCACTTAGGAAAACCATCACAAAATTAATAGTCTCAATAGATTTGGGTGAAAATGAAATTATGGGAAATAGGATTAGGACATTCCAGCTGACTCTGAAAAATAATCATGTTTGATATTCTTAATTAATCTTTGCTAACTGGTTAACAGTGAGCTTGCTAAGAGAGGAGAAGACAATCTGCATGACAGGCTTTGAAGTCAAGCTGTTATGAGTTTAGCTCTGGGCTTTTTTTGATAACTAAACCGTTCTGCACTGCAGCTGATGTTGTTTCAGGAAGTAGTCCTTAAAATGACAGCAGTTTGCAATTTGTCTTTCTCTTTGGAGAACTTCACCTGAAAAGTACTTTTGACTATGCTGAAAACCTGCATTCTTTCATCTGTCACACTATTTGCATGTGTTTTTGTTTTGTATTTGTAGAGTCCTTTTTCACCCAAAATATAAACATGCACCAAGGAACACTTTAACAAGAGGGGCCGAATTTTTTATTTGGTCACCTTCTCAGCAGATTAATCTGCACGGGGGGCAGCTCCATCCTGTTTTGGGTACCCAAACTGGCTTTCTGCAACGGTAGAATCATAGAGGAATTTAGGCTCAGTGGGAGGTGTGGAGATTATCTGATTCAACACCCAGCTCAAAGCTGGGCCAACCAGCAAAGTTAGATCCAGTTGCTCAGTCCCATATCCAGTAGCATTTTGAATATCTGAAAAGATGGACCCTTCTTAAGTGTCAACTTTCAGTCTGAAAGTTTTCCTAATGTTACATTGGAATGTTCTTTGTTGTACCTTGTGTCCACTGCCCCTCATTCTTTTGCTGTGTACATTCAAGAAGAGTCCAGCTTTGTCTTGTTGATGATCTTCATTAGGCAGCTGAACACAGCAATCGTGACCCTACCTTAGCCTTCTCTGCTGGAGACTGAACAAATAATAGTTTTAATCATCTTGGTGGCCTTCCACTAGATGTTCTTCAGTGTGTTAGTGGTTTGTCTTAAGGCCCAAATTGGACGATCGCTCTCAAGAGCCAGATAGAGGAGAATAACAATTTCACTTAACCTGGTAGGTACATTCTTGCTAGTACAGTGCAGTGTGCAGTTGGTCTTCATTGTTGCAGAAAGATCCACTGCTAACTCATGTTCAACTTGTCAGAAAGTTTCAAAAGGGACCTCAGGTCCTTTTCTGCAAATCTGCTTTCTGTTCAGTCAGCCCTTTGCCTGTGCTGTTGTATGCATGTATTCTGTTTTCAGATGTAGGATGTTGCTGTAAGTGAAGTTCCTGAGATAGGTGTTGGCCTGCCTTTCCCACCTGCTGAGGTCCCTCCGAATTGGACATCCTACCACTGCGTATATTGACCATTTCCCCCAATTTCGTATGGTCCACATATTTGATACTTTGATACAGTGATTAGGTCATTAATTGTAGATAAGTCATTAATGAGGATATAAAGAATATTGACTTTAGTATCAATCCTGAGAAACACCAAGAGTGGCCAGCTGCCACTTGGTCTTAGTACTGATGATCACAACATTTAGAATCCGATAGCCTCGCCAGTTTTCCGTCAACCCTATAATCCACCTATCCAAACCACATCTCCAGCTTGTCTCCAAGCATACTATGAGAGACTGTGTCAAAAGCCTGACTAATATGAAAGTAGAGAAAATCCCCTGCTCTCCCCTTGGACACACAGCCAGTCATTTCTCGATGGAAGGCTATCAGGCACAACACAGCTTTGGTAAATCCAAGATGACTGTTCCCAGTCTCCTTATCATTCATGTGTCT